CTCTGCCTCCACGAGCAGAAAGCTGGAACCATAACTTTTCTGCTGTCGAAATATACTCTGGAAGAGCTATAATTTCGGGCAAGGACCTCCTCTCATCATATGTGGTTCAGCTCGTGGGGTATCAATATCAAATGACATACTCCACSAAGTGMTCCAGCGACGGGGGGKTCGGATAAGTGAACTTGCTTACTTGACCCCTCCCTGAGGAAGCCGTAGTTGCCTGAATATGTCAATGATAACCCCCTGCCCCCCTCTCGAAGCCCCCTGAAAAATGTTGTACCTTTAAAATTTTATTGCGGATTCGGACAGCTCTTGAAGAGCGCAGTCGGAATCTGCCCAAGAACAAAAAAAAAAAAGATATTTGGGCACTTTTTTTTCAAAACCGGTTTCCCCGTTCACCCCCCCTGGTCTGGTCCGGCTCCGGTTGGACCGGGGTAGCTCAACCGGCCGGTTGCCAGCCCAGCACTGGTTTGAATCGTACTGGAATCAGATGGATACCATAACTTTAGGGGCCTACCCCTTCCCGGGGGGTGGGGGGTGGGGGTGGGGGAGGGAGGGAAAAAAAACGAGGGAACTGTACATGGCTGGCTGCATCTGCGAACAAGCTCGGAAACTCCAATTGGATGTGACAAAGATAAAGCTTTTCTTATCGTGTTCAGCATTTTATCGTACGTCAACAACATAACATAACAATCAAGTTTACACTAATAGAGAAGTCAAGACAACAAACTGGCTTTGCAGGCTAGCTGTTCTCCTATAAGAGAATCACAACCGCTAAGATGAACAGTCGGATCTCAGGTCTGACAGGATCCCCACTGCTGTTAAGTGATATAAAGCGGCATGCACCACCACAGAAATTGCGCTGTCTGAGAAAGCCTGATATCATACACATCTCTAGATTCTACAAAGATATGGCTAACCTTTTGAAATGGTCTGCCTAATCTCATCAACCAAACAAACACTAGTAATTGACTCGCCAAGCATTCAGTTCATCCGATGGAATCATGCATGCACACTGCGCTCTCAGCAGCCCACTCAGGGGGGGAAAACTCGTTTTCTAAAGTTCTACGAAAACAGTCCGCCTTTGTTGGTATCTCCCCCGACCATACAGTGATAAAAGGTGACTTCTGGGAGGAGAGGGGGACTTTTTTTATTTTTTTGGGAAAACAAGCTCCAATCTATTCATGGGAGGCAACACATGCTGTGCACAGTTTGCACAGTTTGCAGTAAATGCTCGGCCTAGCCTCCCCCCCCCAAAAAAAATCTTACTAATCGTAGCTGTGCACAGTTTGCAGTAAATGCAGGTGGTCTCTGTAATGCATGATGCAAACATGTGCGACATAAATCACTTCGTGCTTGAACAGCGAATCGTGTGCGACGGGTGGATCATCTGTGACAGGCAAATCGTGGGTGACAGACGAATCAACATGTGACAGAAAAGGATCACGCACAACGGACCATCCATGAGTCCATCAGGCCTAAGAAGATGACATGTGTGGCAAATAAATGAGTCCTACGGACTCCTACCAGATGGGCGGCAGAGACCAAAATTCCCGCCAGACATGATGTGTGGCACACCATCAGATAAGTCTGGCATCTTGTGCGACCAGTCACCAGTTCCAACTGCTGTGTGGCCAACCATGTGTCCCAGCTGATGTGTGATGTGTCACACATCCCAAAAGCAGAGTCATAGACCACAGTAACTCCAATCCGGTGGGCGTTAGCCCTCGGCCGAAGTCCACCCGTTGTGAAACAGACTCCAAGTTCCAGTTCAGTTCCTGCTAGACCCAAGTCTCTCAGCAGGTGTGTGACAATCCACTTGTTACAACAGCTGTGTGGCAAACCATGCATCTACACCGCTAATGTCGCACACCAGTACCATCCATTATACCAAAGAGTAGTCAAGAAACCTTAGCTCTTCGGTGGATTCTTGAAGGCGCCTCGTGGAGTCGACGTTTGGCAAAAAAAAGACATAAGTCACAAGTCCGACCACGTGGATGAAGGGCCCATGTTTCACCACACGGGCAATAAAAGAAAAGTCCTACTATACTCTCCAAGCGGTGTCCCACAGCAGTCACCTGCAGTGCAGCAAAGCAGAGCTAGAAGCAGACGCGGCAACAAAAGAAAAGTCCTATCATACTCTCCACGTGGTGTCTCACAAGTGCCACCTGCAGTACAGCAAAGCGGAGCTAGAAGCAGACGAGGGAGAAAGAACCAGTCCCCTTCACCAGCTGCACAACAAGCCCCTCATCACATGAGCTGGGTGATAGCCAAGCAGTTCCTTGAGCTGTGTGACATGCGACACCAGTCGGAGCAGGGAGGTGAGGAGGACCAGCCACACAACAGAGAAAAGACAGACATGGATGCCATCAGGTGGATTAACCACCCATAGGCCCCGCCAAAGCCCCACAGGACCAAAACAGAGCTTCTGTGTACGTGGAGCTGCGGCCCGGGCCCGCAGTAGGCAGAATGGCCTCACGAAAGTTGGCATAATAGTAAAGCAGAGGGGCCCAATTCAGCCAAACCATCTACTGCCCCAGTCAGTCACCAATCTACTTCCAGCTTGTCTCATTCCCCACCTGCCATGTTGAGAAGACCAAAGTCATGTGGTACCCTTGTATGCAGGAATCTTGACATGCAGGGTAACTAGCTGATCCGACGATGACGGAAGTCATTGCTCCGCGCCGATGGCCATCACACATCTCACTGATTTCCAGCTGGAGGGGAAGAAGTTGTGCCACGTTTGTTGTCATCCCATCCTCTGACCCATGGGTTGCCGACATGGGCTCTCGTTGAGGGCGAAGAGCTCGCGTTCATCTTTTCCAAGATATCTCGCTTAATACTTGCAAACACCGGATTCGCAGCAATTTTCGCTGATGGCTCATCCTGTCCCGTCAGCCACTTCCATAAATCCGGTGTCTCCTCTTCGAGCAATTCAGCGAAATGGGAGAGGGTGTCCTCATCCATAGTCCATGCGTTCTCCTCTGCCCACTTTCCTATAACCAGATCCAATTCAAGATAGCCCCGCTGCTTGCTTCGATACAAGATTTTGTTGATTCTTTGCCTGCGAAGCTCCACATCTGCATTGTCTTCAGATGGACATATTTTCCGACTCTCAGGAGGAGAGACCGACGTGGAGAATGTGTTCGACAAGGCTTGCACTTGAGCCATGCCTCCTGCAATCGGCGACATTCTGGCTCCACCATCATCTTGACTCACACTCCGCGTCATACACGAGGCCCATGGACGTGCACAGAGATGAACAGTGGGAACAGGCTCCACCTCATTGAGAACATTCACTGATACAATACTGCAAACATCATGTTTGTGGTTCACCGAGCCATGGGAGTTAATGGGGTTCTTTGGGAGAGCACGAACCCCCGACAGTCCGCTCGACCACAATCGTTGCCTCACAGGACTGCCACCATCGCAGAGGCAGGACCGTGTGGAGCTGCTGCTGAAGTGTTTTCTTGCCTCGCGTCTCGCACAGTCTCTGACTTCAAAGTGCGCAGCGCTCATCCACGTCAAACGCTGTGTGAGACGGCCGCACAATCGTGCGGCGACCTCGTGTTGTCGAGGCCCTCGTGCAGACCCAAGAGCTCTTTGAGGGATGAGGGATTGGAAGAGTTTGGGGATCTGTTGAGGACCCATTTGTCAATTTCCTGACGCTTGGCAACACAGTGGGTGTTTCTCTTCCTCCCTACCCCACAATCCGTCAAACCACCCCCTCTTCCCAACGGTGGTTTTTCCTCCACTCAGGTGAGCAGGGTCTGAGTCCACTCCCTGACAAATGAGAGCTCACTCACCTAACAGTCGAGCAAGACACATCCACAGACTTTACAAAAACTCAGTCTGGCATCTCTACGTGCCCGTGTCAGCCGAACAGAGCAGCGAATATGAACCTGGTGGAACGAAGTCCGGTTCAAGCAGCACAACGGTAGCACAGACACCAGGGTCAGTGTGTTCTGGAGGGAGTTGTCTTCAACATGGAGCTCACGGAGAATGCAACGTGATTGATCAACTGACCGACGGGTTGGCAGACAGCCACGACTGCATCGCACTCAATTTGAACGAAGCTTCCCAGTTCATCGACAGTGAATTGCTCGACACAGTCGGAAGCGACCTGCATGCCAAACACCGCATTACACCCCGCAGCAGCAACCAGATACTTCTTAGCATGTATGGGAGTAGCAGACAGAAGAGAGCACTCCCAGCAGTAGTTGTTCCTCTCAAAAGATCTAAACCCGGAAAGACTGCTGGGTATAGATCTGCAACTGTTCTCGCAGGGTGTGCAACTGTTCTCACGGGGTCGGTAAGTGTGTGGCAAACGCGAGCCTAATCAGCCTCGACGCAAGCGAGATGGATGTGCCAGGTAAGTCTGCACACTGACAAATAATACATAGCATGATTGGCGTCACACTTACTAAGATGTGATGTACGCAAAGATCTAGGGGGAGAGTATAATCTCTCTCTCTCTCTCTCTCTCTCTCTCTCTCTCTCTCTCTCTCTCTCTCTCTCTCTCTCTCTCTGTGTGTGTGTGTGTGTGTGTGTGTGT